ACCTAAGGATTAAGGGCTTTTGATCAAGCTTATATGACAGAAGCTACAAGGTTTCAAAGTCGGGCCACAAAAATATGCAATTTTTTCTTTTCAAAGATTCCACTTTAGACTTCTTATAGCATCTGTCATATAAGCTTAACCGAAAAACATTGTACACCATTGAAATATCATAAGGGGGAAACGTGGATGACGCCCATGGTTTCATTGTTCAAAATCAAAAGAAATTAATAGATCAATTTATATGATTTGACCTTGACTATTAGACTGTTATTGTTGTTCTAGCGGATATGTTCAGGAATGTTTTCTCCCTAAATAACTTTGGAGAATGCTACTGCGTTGAGGTCTATGGAGACCCGACTGTCGTGGGATTTTTCTGCTCTTTAATGATTACAGGATCTAAAAACAATAACGGCGTGATGTTAAAATGAAATTAAACACTCAAACCTGGTCAATATAGGTTCAGTTCGTTTTCTGTTATGCAGATAGTTTTATGTAATTTATGATTTGAACAAAATGTCGGCCACGACTTCGTTTATATATTCATCCATTTACGCCAATTTTCGATGATCCGCTGATACATTTCGGCTGGATTTTCGGCTATAGAGCGCTAAATGTTATCTTCGAGCTCCACAAACATTGCTGGTTGATTGGCGTAAACCTTTGATTTAACATACCCCCAGAGAAAATAATCTAGAGGCATTAAATCACATGATCTTGGTAGTAATTTGACTGCCATTTCTCCAAATAAACGAGTCGCCAAAGTTTACACGCAATGCGCCATGTTTAGGCATGAAACATGAGTCAGCGCATCGTCTTGTTGATAACATTGTGTTATAAAGCTCGATATCGATGGTAACGGCATTTCCTGCCTCATTTGAAGAGAAATAAGGCCCGATGATGCCGCCATACCACAATCCGCATCAAACGGTTAATTTTTGGGAATGCAATTACGTTACCTGAAACACACGCGTATTTGACTCATTCCAAGAGCGACAATTTTGTTAGTGGATGAAGCCAATAATCCAGAAATGGGTTTTATCTGAGAATACCGTGTTTTGCGCAAAGAGATTTACTGTAGCCATCGGAGAACATGAAATCACGTAATAATCTTGGACACTTCCCAAGTGTTGTACCAAAGTTTCTTGCTAAACACACGCACAAATATTGAGTTAAATCCGTACAAAATTATAATATTACATCGAAAACAAAACATTAGACCTACTTAATTTACAAACAAGTGGATTCCTACGGGGTACGTTGATAAGAGTCATAAAAAATATGATCGCCTAACCCACATAGCCTAATTACTCACAAACTAAATAAGACTACTTACGTATTTACTTAAGTGCGCCTCAATTGTTGGTGACTGGTGCGTGCATATATAGCTAAGTACGAGTATATAGGTATTAGCTGCCGCTTCCCAGCGAATAATCCTCCAGAAGCTTGTGCAACAGTTAGCCACATACCTGTATTCACATGAACCCATTAAAAAGCGAATTAACGCTTTGGAAATTCATTCGCACCAACATTTTTCTAGCTGATTCTGCAGCCGTTGAAGAAGGGGAATAATTTTTCTAGTAATCAAATATGGTAGAGTTATTGTTGGTACAGGTGGGGAGCTGGTAGTAGAGAACAGTATTAATAATGCGTGTAACGGTGAGAGAGTGTATATATTTACATGTGGATCTGTAAAGCTTCCGATTTGTCTATATAGACTCAAATTTAAAGTCATTATGATAATTAGCGTAATTTCAGTCGAATATGTGTACAGATGTATTTATGTATGTACATACATATGTATATCTAAAGCAAAATAGAAGAGTTCAATGAGCCGGTTGCCATCGCTGACTTTGTCTGACCTACTCAGGGCTGCACATGAACATAAAAAATATATACATATATTTGTAATTTTACATTGTATACATATATATATCTATATATATATACACAAATATATGTCTATTGTGACTCATTTAGTGTTAGCCACTACTTTCTGAAATAATTTTAACGACCACTCTTTCTCTTGTAATTAAAACTTAAATACAAACATAATAAACTCGTTGAACTTTGACATTTGAGGAATGAGTTAATCAGCAAAATACCAGTCTCACGTATATTTATACACATAACATACAGTATATATATATTATAATATTTATTGAGTATTTTAAGCATTTCTTTCTCTATGCATCTCAATATGCTTTCAGCTCGAACAAAAATTTTATTTTATTTAATTTACTATATTAACTATTTTCACCCGCAAAAATTTGGGACCGACCCAAAAAATTGTTTGACAATTTTAATTAAAGACAAAGTTCTTATAACAACCTAATTCCTTCTATACAAAAAAAAGGTCCAAAAAATAGGAAGTAACGAGAAGTTTGAGCATCTGAGGTTGACATAATTCTGAGAAAAGTTAAAGGCACATGATTTGAGGTTTCCCAAATTTTTATCATAAACAAGCTGCAAAGAATTAAATATTTAAGACGAAACGATAATTATAACAAATCATACTAAGCTAAGCTAAATATTATTTCTTGACTACATTAAGACATTAATATCTACATACTTATATCCCCTATAAGTCAACCAGAGAGACGAAAATAATAATAACGGGTATTTGGACCTAGACTCCTACTGCTAACAAATAAGCACATACCTCTCGAAATAAGTATGCAAACGATTACGGACACTCTAAGAACACAAAAAGCGGTGAACTACCTAGGCGTAAGAGTGGACCCAGATTAACTTTCTGGGTACAAATTCAGCACGCCGCAGGAAAGGCAGCGAAAATCACCTCCCAACTCAGCAGACTAATGGCCAACATAGGGGGGCCCAGCCAAGAAAAGAGAAAGCTTCTAATGTCCACGACCATAAGCGTCCTATTATACGGAGCAGGGATTTGGGCAGATGTGTTAAAAAAGCAAAACCGGCGTAAGGTATTGGCTAGAGTACACCGCAACGCAGCCCTCAGAGTTGCATCAGCTTACCGAACGGTGTCAGGTGATGCAATATTAGTTATAAGCGGCAATGGCCCAATTGACCTTCTGGCATACGAAAGGAAAAAGCTGTGGAAGCTAAAGAAAATGTCTGAATACAACAAGAGCGCATTAGACCAAATAAAGAAAGACACGATATCAGCCTGGCAACGAAGATGAGAGAATGAGAGCCGCGACAGATGGACATAATAGACCTAAACTTATGGACAAGTCGTAAAGTCGACTTCTACATACAAGTAAAGCAGCTACTATCAGGTCATGGATACTTCAAAAAGTACATCTACAAAATGAGAAAAGTCGAAGAGCCGGCATGCCTATACAACGATGCGACTGAGGACGAAGCTGAACACACATTCCTTTAAATGTGAGCAATGGCAAAGGGAACGTACTGCCGTAGAAGACCTGGTCCGCCCAATAAGCGCGAACAACTTAATCAATGTCATGGTGGAGAGCAAAGCTAACTGGGCTATTATCCAGAAATTCGCAGAAACTTTGCTACGCAGCAAAAAGCGGGACCTGGACGCGTAGATGTAAATCTCTCAATGAGGAAAATGGAACGCCACCCTGAAGTAATGCAAACGCGCTTCCAGGGTATATAGAGATAAAGGGTTTGTCATTATGCATTAAAAATTACTTCGGACCGACGCGGCGGGCTCGAATAATTTCAGCCAGTATGCCCTATTACGACCAGTTTTTGCAATAATAGGAGCGTATGCCATCAATAACGCGCCGAATACGCTCTTCCAAGGCGTCCATCGACTCGGGATTATCTGTGTTAAATCACACGATTTTGGAGCCCACGCCATAGGCTCATTCCTTCAATAAATTGATTGTTTCGTTGGCGGTATGGCACGTATCGTCGTCCTGTTGGAACAAAAGTTCGTTCAAAAGAATCATGTATATAATGGCCGGTTTCAGGAAGCAATATGGAACAATGATTCCCTCTGCCCACGGAGCACAACAAACAGTGACTTTTTGCGGATACAACGGCGTCTCAACAATGACTTGTGGATTATCATCAATCCAAATGCGACAATTTTATGTATTTTTTTACGTCGTTACGTAAAGTTAGCTTCATCGCTGAACATAATTGTATTGTTAAAATCGGGATCGGTGACCATCTCGTGTTGGTCCCATTCACCAAACGTGCGACGCGCTTGATAGTTGTTTGGCTTCAATTCTTGCACGAGTTGGATTTGTAAGCCCGAAAACCAAGATCCTTCCGCAAAATCTTCTAAAAAGTGAATGGGCAAAGCTTTAATTATTACGCGTGGTGGCAGATGAGCTCATTCGGCTTTTCTTCGATTCTCTGTTCCACAGCAGCAATATCGTTTCCGATGCGCACTGTACGGCGACTCTCTGAGGATGCGTATTATCTACTATAGTTAACGTGGTGGGGAACCGATCCGTTGTTACTCGTATTATCGACTCTACTTGGTGATTGTGTCGACAAAAACCGAACTGAGTATAAATCAAGTAATAGCTGTCAAAAAGACCAACTCCGAAAAAAGTAAAGTAAACTAAACCAAAAACTAACCGTTATTTGAACTTCAATTAGTAGAAAATAATTGTATTATACTAGGAATAATATAGCATATATACATACACACGTATGTATGTACATACATGTATATGAGTATTTTATGCGTACATATGTATAGATATATAAATGATATTTAGAATTTATTTACATATGTATGCGTGCCTAGATTAAATCAAAGTCAGAGGCTCACCCACTTAGAACGCAGTTTTGTTGTTTTTTTTTTTTTCCAAACACAATGCATTCATTAAAAAGAAAAAGAAGCATTATTATCTACGAGTTTAGTACAATTTTGAAGCGAACTTTTTATTTATTTTATTTAAAAATAGTGAAAAGACAATTTGTGGCAAGCGAAGTTGCCTGTTGTTGCATGTGTTTGCATGTAAACAAACAAATGTCGACAACAACAAGAACAACAGAAATAGCAGAAGTGAAAAGAAGACAGCGTAACGATTACTCACCCCATAAACACATTTCTTTGCAGCCTTCGCTCAATTACTGCCCACTACCAGTGGATCTCCAGATGCAAATACATACATACAAGTATATTGCACATATAGTTACACATATCCATATGCTTTTGTTTATATGTTAGCGGGTGTTGGTCGGCGCGTCAACTTAATGGCACGATTAATACAAAGTCGCTGCTTATATGTGCTGGCAATTACACACACACATACATGCATGTACTTATGTATATATAATATGTTTGCTCATATATGGTTTGTGTGCGCTCTGTTTTGTGAGTTTTTGTTTGTTTTGTCTTTCAATTAACTCGACTGGACGAGACTTCTTACACAATAGAATGCACACACCAACACACATACACATATTTTTATTGAAAAGATTGCTTGCAGTTGTTGCTATCGTTGTTGCTTTTGTGTAACTATTATTTTTATTGCACTATTTAATTCACAGCTTTTCATTCACTTCAAACATATTCATATTAAATAACACACACTTGCTTTGCTCAAACGCTTTTACTTTTCATCTCCTATTAAGGCACTTAGTTATGTGTGTGTATTTGTATCTAGATATGCACATACATACATTTCAAGATCTTTTCAAATTTAGCAAGCTGCAAGTACATATGGATATGTGGTATATTTATATGTTATATATATGTATATACACAATTCCACTTTAATTTTATTTTCACTGCGAAACATCAAAAGAAGTCACACACATACAAACACAGCGGCTACAAGGCGGAAGGAAAACCTACACGAGTGCCTCAGCATGGTCACAAATCACTGCAAACCAAAAGCAAAGCAGAAGTTCACAATTTGGCAATGAAAGCGCTCTTCGCATTACCAGTTTACATAGGTGTAAATATATGTACATACATACATATTATATACACTAAAACTGTATATACATATGCTTTATATACACAAAACTGCAATTTAAAACAGTTTTTAGTTTATATTTGTTTATTTTTTTATTATAACGGATGTTTAATATATTAATATTTATATTATTTTTATTTTAATTCGTCAAAGATATAATATATACATATAGTTAAATTTTTTTTTATAAAAATATAACAAACATTATAATAATAATTTATTACTAATTATTTTGTATATGCGTAATATTTAATGTAATTATTTCATTTAATTATTTTCATTGATTTCTAATAAAAATAATAATTTACAGCACAATATTTAAACATTTATTTTTAAATTTATTTAGAATTAATTATATAAAATTTGTTTCCTTTTTAAGTTTTAACTGCTTAACTTCTTGTATTTTACTGATTATTATATAATATACTGATTATTATATAATAATTATATTTACTGATTTATAATTATAATCATAATTTACTGCTAATTATAACGGGTGACTTTTTTCAATAGCCGTTTTTTTTGACAGATCACGTGTGAGTCGTGTCAACGTTCTTTAAAGAATGTGTTTCGTGCGCTTAGCTCAACTTATGGTCGACATTAGCGACCTACTGAGCGTACTATTTGCAACACCTTCACCCATCTTGAGGCCCATCATTTATTATTGGATAATACACCAAGTCCAGCATGCAGTGAAGCAAACATAGCGGCCGTAGCTGTGAACACAAATACCGTGGTGAGTCGATTCGGTGCCGTTCGCAGCAACTTGTACTGACCTTAAATTGAAAGCGTACAAAATACAGCTTGTGCAAGAATTGAAGCTACTAGACCTTCCCAAGCGACATCTCTTTGTTCTATGGGCTCCAGAAAAGTTCCAAGAAGATCCGACGTTTTCGACCCAAATTTTGTTTAGCGGTGAGGCCCATTTGTGTCTCGAATGGGTATGTAAACAAGCAAAATTTCCACATTTGGGACGAAGAGCAACCTGAAGAGATTCAAGATCTGATTCAAAAATGATGCCGGTGAGAGCGTAACTATCAATGACAACCGTTATCTCGCCATGATAACCGACTATTTGAAGCCTGAAATTGAAGTTCGTGATCTCGACGACATTTGGTTTCAACAAGACGGTGCCTCAATCAATGGATTTATTAAGAGAACACTTCGGTGAGCAGATAATTTCACGTTTTTGGCCGGTCGATTGGCTACCAAGATCGTGTGACCCTTCGACTTTTCTCTGTGGGGCTATGTAAAGTCTAAGGCCTTCGAGCAAAACATAACGTGTGTCGTAAAAATAAATGCCAAATAATGTTCGTTTGAATGATAATAAACATTTCCCAATAGATTTAAATTTTCTGTGTTTCTTTCTTTAGGAAACCTCGAAATGGATCACACTATGTAAATATTTATTTTAAATTTTAGTTTTTAACTTTTTACATTTTCATATATGTTATTTATAATTACCAGGGTTGAAAAAAAAGGGGTTTATTTTATTTTATTTGGTAATCTCGAAATTCTGAAGTGAAAGTATTTTTTTTATACACGAATTGAAAAAAATCGAATCGCATGAATAGAGTTAAAATATTTTTTATTAATCTGGTATTTGGGTACAAAAATAATTTTAAAATTTAAATATTTACTTTACTTTATATTTTTAATTTAATCTTTAATCTCAAATACCGGATTGAAAAAAATATATATTTTCACCCAATTTCTAGGACTAAAATACATTTTTTTAATTTTTAATCTGGTATTTGGAATTAAAAATGTATAAATGGTTTTTTTTTTACAATTTTTGGATTTTTAAATTAATGTTTAATCCCAAATACCAATTCGTTTTTTTTTTTTGCCCACTCTACATATATAAATACGGATAGAATGGAACTCATCGGAAACAAAAGATAAAAAAACATTTAAGGAAAAATAATTTACGGGAGATCTGAGGTCAGGAACACGATTTATCTCTATTACCGGTAAAACTACGAGTCCTATAAATAAAAGTTGTAAAGGAATGTTGTAAAGGAATTTTGTAGGTAATGAAAAGGTCTAACACCTTTGCATTTAGACCTTTTTAACATAACCTCAAAATGTACTTGTATGTGAAAAGTTCAAATAACCAATTTTTGGGTTTTTATTTTTATCTTGAATAAATATTTTTGAACGCATGTTCATATTATTTTCATGCACTATATTGCTCTTGTATTATATTTTTTTATTATCATTGGCTAATATTATTAATTTTATTTATTTTTATTACTTTTTTTTATAGTTTTTATTGGATGGGCTTTAGTTTAGCATCCCACGATTTCAGGGTTAAGAGGGGTATGGTTGGGTAGAGGAGATTCTCCAGATCACGAATATATATAATTATTACCGCCGGAAACTTATAGTTTTCGAGATATTTGCATTTTAAGTTGAAAATTTGCCAAATTTTATTTTACAATTTCTCGATTTATGGTTAACTTTTCTTTTATATTATGCACTTATTATACACTAACTAACTAACTTATTATTCACTACAATGTTTTTACATATTTATTTTATGTTAATTATTTAAATATTTGCTTTGAATAAGCATTTTATTTTTACACAATTTTCGTTATATGCACAATAACAATGTCAGATAATAAGTGTTGCCATATCCAAACGAATGACAACAATCAAAATAAATAAAAAACCCAATTACCCTCTACAAAATATTATGAACTAAATTGTCCATTTTAATAAAAGAAAAAGGTTTTATGGCTTATACGTATGTTTTATTGCACCTAGTAGTTTCACGAATGGATCGTGATGCTGATTTGCTATATTTTTACTCCATACGTATTCATATGTATATCAAATTTGAAAAATCTTCACTGTTATTATAATTATCTTTAAAAAAATGTGGAAAACGGTTGGCCTCAAGGGCCATCCCTGCAACTTCCCTCTAATTTCATACGCTAACGTTCAAATTTCGCTTTTTTCACTGCTTTTGAGCTCTTCGAAATTTTTCGTTTTCGATATCTAGCAAGTAAATCAACCGATTTCGACCCGGTTTGCGGCAAACGATGTGTTTCTTCAAGGTTTAGAACTGATTAGTTTTTAGTGTCGATCGGTCAAGTCGTTTGGAAGAAATTCTCAAAATCTACTGGTCTGATTGGGTCCAAACTCACACGAAATTCAAGTGCAATGAAACCCTTTGGAATGCCGTTTAGTTTATTCAAATCGGTTGAGCCGTTTAAAAGTTATAAGAGGGTCACATACATCCACACACACACACATACATACAGACATACGGACATCATCGTAGAAATGTTCGGGGAAGCTTCCTCGACCCTCAAAACGTCGAGATCTGTTGAGAACTCGATTTTTGCAAAATGGGGTGAAACCAATATCTTCCCGATTTTTAGAAAATTTTCCATTTTCTTAGCGGGAAGTTAAAAAAACCTTTTGATTACGCGCCACTGGGACTCTATTCTCTGCGTGTGTGTTCCATCCTCGGCAACAAACGTATTGTCTGGATCGCTATGGTTAACGCGTCGGTGCTCATACCCGTGTCTGGACAGGCAGTCGTACTCCTTCCAACAATCAGTACATATGGTGCTACCTTGTGCAACGTGTCTCTGAATTAAGGGTATGAGCACTACAGCAGACCTCACATTTTCAGGACACACTTCCAGCCGAAGGTCGTCACTCCCATCCTCTACCATCCCTAGAACCCAGTGGCCTTCCACTCTCCGTCCTAAAATAGAAAAAATTAAATAATTACGTATGAAAAATAAATAATAATGTATTTATTATTACCTTTGTTATATTTTCGTTTCCCGAATTTGCTCTCGTCTATTTGAACAATTTTACCTACCGCTACCTGGTGATCAACCTGTCACATATGGTAGCGCTGGATAAAATTGGATCCTTAATAAAATTGTTCTTTCGAACCTGCGATTGTGACCAGTGCGATGCAAATGCATACATTATATAAAAAATTTGAGGCAGTGGTATTTTTGCGTTTTCGAACCATGTCCCACTCGACCTCGACACCGCAGTTCTTTTACGGCAGGCACCTTTCCGGCATCGGAATATGCCAACCGTGCTCCTATCAGATAAGGATACCAACATAGGTATCCCATGCGTACCGCATAATTTGCTTTTAAAATTAAGCCCTCCTCCTCTGCAAACGATATACATTTCTCACTAGTGTCGAAATTTTGGATTATTTTAGGGAAATTCCACATTTCCTTGATTTCGGACACTGTGAGAACATTGTTTTTTTTTACCAGACCACGGCTGGTTGACGGTTCGTAACAATATATTCAAAAGTCTCAAGTAATATTTGTTATAATCTTAAATTTCTAATAACATACTTGATGTATTTCCACTCATTTTTTCAAAAATTATCACAATTTAGATAAATATGTAAAAAATATAAAAACTTGCGGAATGACGTGTATGCACAATATTCACCAATTCAATTTGAATATGAAAATAATGACAAAACGGACAAAAAAAGAAACGGTACCTTGTTTAGTTGTATAAAATTCCGTTATAGAAATTGAAGTTTAAAGAGAGTGATATACCCTCTTTAACATTAATTTTTTTTGTTTAAAGGTCCTATTTCCACTGGCGGCCTTCGGCCGCGCTTCAAAAAAATAACCCAATAATTTATTAATAGAAGGGAATTAACAAAATTGTAGTTCATGTATTTGGAATATAATCCTCTTTTATTATTAATTTCGCTTTCAAAATATAAATATATATATATATATATATTATATATAAGTGAAGTGTTAGTGTATAATAAGTGCATAATATAAAAGAAAAGTTACCCATAAATCGAGAAATTGTAAAATAAAATTTGGCAAATTTTCAACTTAAAATGCAAATATCTCGAAAGCTATAAGTTTCCGGCGGACTATACCCCTCTTAACCCTGAAATCGTGGGATGCTAAACTAAAGTTTTCCCTTTTTATTAATTATTTTTTTGTATTATATATATGTATATTTTTTTAGTTTGTTTCATTAAATTTTCAGCTTCACTTGTTCACTTTTTATTTGTTTTGTCTTGTTTGTTGGTGTTTATTTATAAGTTTCAATGAAATACATTCATTTAACTTATTATACATATATTTAATTTTTGTTTATACACAGTATTGTTCGTTTTTTAATTAAATGTTATTCATTAAACTCCATAAATATTAATATTTTTTAGATAAATAAAATTAGTTAATTTACTTTGGTTCTTTCAAATTTTGTTTTATTTTCTTTTTTTTAATTAATTAAATTAATAGTTTACAGTTTAATTTAATTTTTATTACTATTTTTTGAAATGCCGTTTAGTTATAACTTTTTGGACTTTTTTTTGTAGTTATTTCATTCTTATTTATGCATATTTTGTTCCCCTAACGCACATATATATGTATATGTAATTGTGTGTACAAAAGTAAACATAGTCATACATCTGTATGCGCTTTTCATACTATGTAAAAATTTTATGTACTCACATACATACATATGTATGTACGTACACTCACATGTGCCTATTCATCAAATTTTATTCTCACACAATTTCGCACATTTCCCCCACATCACTATTCACTTTCGATCATGCCGTTCCGCAAATAACCGTTTTAATTACCGCTTTTTACGAGTCCACGCGCCAAAATCAAATTTCACCTGCGTCGCGCACTCCGATTTCATAATTTCAAACACAAAATAGCCTCCGATTTCTGCACTATTTTTGCAAAGACAAACAATTTGAATTATTTTCACTCACGTCTCGCACCGATCGTTCGGCGAATAATTCCTTCCGCCGCGAAAATTGACCAACAACTGAAGTTTTATTCGCATTTTCATTGCTCCGGCAGTCGGTCTCTCGCTCAATTCTACTGCAATTGCCTGCAGCGATGCCGCCTGCTCCAGCCGGGCACATTGCCCAGTGTATTTTATTCGCGACGCACAATATTTCGACCTTCGTGCGGCCACGCGACCGATAAGTTTTGTTGTGTTCTACACATGCGTTGCGCTCTTGGCATTATCATCACACTCACGCCCAACTGAACCACCAACACTGCGCCTCATAAGTATACCATACCATTTGACTTTTTATGGTACATATTATAAGTGTGGTATGTATGTATGTATTTATGAAGTCGTGCTCATTCTCGAAGCGAACTGGCTTAGCTTAATTAGTTGATCACAACCGCTACTCCATTTACTGACTAGCCTCAATAAATAAACATTGAAATGTTTACGCAGCCAATGGTACTCAAACTAAACTGAAGTATGGTATAAGAAGTTACTAAAAGGCCTCCATTCGATCTGCACCTTATACTTTGTTGGTTAGCCCACAAAGAGAAGACTATACCGACATAGTATCTAAAAATCTTATTTGAGACGCTTGTTCCAATAAAAATCGATTATGCCAACTCATATCACATCGCCGTCTGCTTACCTCTTACCTGGACTTGTGCAACTGAAGTGTTTTGATGAGTTCAGACCTACTTTCTGCGCTTCATGCACTTGAACATTATTTGGAAAGCCGCTCCACAGCAGTTCA